CATTTTGATGACTTTCTTTGTCTTGACTTGCGTTCATGGTTTGGTTCAAACTTAAAGTAAACATGCTCAATTTTCTTATACACTGATTTACTGGTAAGGTAATATTGAATTATTCACGGAAGAAGGATAGTTGAAACCAATAATATAATTAAGGAATAATAGGTAAGTTTGTTTTGTATGTTTTCATTTTCTTCGTTATCAAAAGCGATATCAAACATCAATTATACTATACTGTTATGTACATACAATTTTGTTGTTAAAACTAATCTCCTTAGGCTTTAAGATTTTATTCACTTGATTTCACTTAACCCTGTTTTTAAAACATCGTAGACTGTTGTTTACGGTAGCAGCCAGCAGTAACTAGCATTGTATTTAGATCTAGGCCTTATTTCCTGTTTTATATAATGATAGTGACAGTATCTTCTACAAAAAAGATAGGTAGTAACTCGTCGAACCGGAAAACGGCTGCAGGACAGCCGTTTGCAAAACATTTGTCATCGCCGCAAATTTTACGTATGTTGTATCAAAAACACGTTTAAAGTTCAATAAACGGAAAGAGAGAATGATTTTTGCGAACTACTTCGTCCGCCCGTCGACCGGAAGGCCGGCGCTCGGTATCCCTCCTAATCGGGCGACCCTTGTTTGGCCGCGCTGTTTATCCAGGCGACCACTCCCGGAACACGAGATTGAGGGACGGAAGGTGGAGGGGGGCCTCCGGGCTCGGGGGGTGTGTGCTTGTAGTGTGGCAGTGGTCAGGGTCACACGGGGCTGCGTCCGGGGCGGGAGCCGCCCCCGCCGCCCCCGCGGCCCGCTCTGCGCCAAGATGGGGCGGCGGCCGCGGCAGGTTGCGGACGCATCCCCGTGGCGCTGGCGCTCTGGCGCGTCAAAGGGAATGGGAGAGCAGCCGGCCAGACCTCAACTGAACAGACCGGCTCGGGCTGCAGCCGCCCGCCCTCCAGCCCGCCCGCCAGCCCGCCGCCCGCCGGACCAACCCGGATCTAATTTGAAGATCCTTTTTCTTCTCTCGGGCAGCAGGGCGTTGGTCAGAGCTGGCGGATTGCCCCCTCCGGCGGCTTGGCAGCTTTGTTGTGAACATAGACTAGAATAGGGATAGGAAGAACCCAGGAGAGAGGGGAGGAGGGGGCGGGAGGGGCTGAGACACGAGGGGAGATAAGGATAGGAAGAGGGGGAAGAGATCCCCGAGCCATTCCGTCAGAAAGGGGTGGATTAGGTTGCAGGGCGCGCTGGGCGGGCGGCCCGCCGGGCTGCGCGGGGCGGCGGGCGAGGTCGTCCAGCACATGATGGCAACCCGCTTCCGCCAAGTCGAAGCTCCGCTCCGCTCCGCCCCGCTCCGCCACTGCTCCGCCACCGCACCACCCCGCACACCACCACTCGACACCACCCCGCCACACCCCGGCACGCCCTGGCACGCCGGGACCCTGTAAGGGCTCCTGTAAGGGACCCTGAAGGGATCCTGTGGGACACACACATGGTGTTGTCCTATGGGGCCGTAGCTGTCCTCCGTGCTCCATCCCCACCCACCCCCCTCTCTCTCTCTGCGCTGCGCCATCCCTCTACACACCCTGAATGTAAACGAACAAATTTGGCGGTAATGAACAAAAAAAGAAAAGAGGAGACCTTGAAAGGAACCACGAGAAATATGAAAATAATGTGAATATTAACCAATACAAGATTTTCTGTAAATTACCTATGGAAATTAGTTATAAATTCTATATGAAAAGTTGCTTTTCAATGGGAAAGCCCTTGTCTCGCCCTCGCCACCCAAGTTTCACGTCGTCCTTGGTCCAAGGATAAACGGGTAAGAATGGAGATTTAGTTGTTGTGTTTTTGTTCTGTCGTGAGCTGCACCGAGGAATGGTGTGGTGGGGAGGGGATGGGGGTGGGGGTGGAGGGAATACCCGGGCGATTTGCATCTTTCCAATTTACTCGCATTTTGCAAAGTCGGGGAGGTGTTTTCGAACTCGGCCCGGTCAGCCTGCCCACGTTAAACCAGCCCCCCCACGAGCATCCTATGGGGGCACCGTGGACGCCCGGGTAGCACCGCACCGCCACCGTCGCCCACTCGCCCCACCCCGCGCCGCCCCGCCCGCCAGTCCGCGCTTGCATATTTCATCCCCGCACGGGAAACGTCACCTCGAATTTCATACAGCTTGGCCACCGTCGGACTTTTTGAAGCGACGCCGAGCGACGCACCACACGCGGCCAAAAGCACGAGCACCTCTATTTTTCTCCAGCCACCCCCTCTCTCCTCCCTCTCTTCCCCTCCCCCGCCTCTTTGCTCTCCCTTTTCCTTCCTAGCCCCATCCCCACACAGCCACCCCCTCACTGTACCTCCAGCAGCAGCAGCAGCAGCAGTGGCCCACCTCTTTCCTTCCGCCTGTGGGATCGGATCAAATTTCGCTCGCTCAGCCTGTCCTGTGTATGTTTGTATGTGTGCAGTGTAGTCTGCGGCCGTGTGTGTGTGTGTGTGTGTGTGTGTGTGTGCATGTTTCAAGCGGACGGACACGGGCGCCACGCAGCAGAGGGATGATCGGGGTGCGCCCAGGGGACGGGGAAGGTGGTGATGTTGTCCAGGTAAGTGTGAGGACGTGGCTGCGAATACCAAGGAGATACCCGGTCAAGACCAACACCAACAGCCGACACCCAACTCCTCTGCCCCGTTTGTCGTCCTCGTCCTCGACGTCCTCGCCCCGCCCCTCCCCGCCCCACTCTTTCCCCATCTCCCCCCCCCCCCTCTCTCGCGCTCTTTTCGCCGCTGCGTCTCTCGGATAGACAGCGCCACTACCGTCAGAGCGAGTTGTGTGTGTCAGCTCGCAGAAATAAAGAGAGAATATCTGAGAATATTGAGGAGGACCAGCGGCGCGGCGGGGAGCCAGGGGCGGACCAGGGGGGGGGAAAGG